GCAGTGGCATCAGGAAAGCCATAGGCGCAGCATAGCCCCATGTACCAGGCATAGGGCACTACCCCAATGGCTTCCCTGCCGCCATTTGCCTGCCCAGCAGCTGACCAAAGTTTGGCAGTGTGGGCAGCACCTACCAGTATGGCCAGGGCATGCCCCCTGACAGTGATGGTGGTGGAGAAGCCCCAGGGGTAGCGCCTGGTGCCTGGCACACGGGGCTGTGCTGCGCCGCTGCTGGGTCCAAATCAGTTCAGTCTACGCAGGTTAGACTAACCTGCAAAGACTGAATCAATTCAAGCTTTGGCTTTTTGAATGTGTGTCCCTAGCCATAGACAAAAACTGTGGCTTTTTCCTGGCTCAGATGCCAGTCCTCACTTTGGCACCACTCCCATAAACTGACAGACTCTGGCATATCCCCTTTGAGTTCATCTGTAATCTGCTTGCAGGATTAGAGGTTTTGCTTGTGGCTGTGTTTCCCTTTGGAGTTAATGAAAGATTCTTCCCCGCGGCAACATGGTGCGCATTATATTAAAATTTACAAAGCTTTCATAAATGCAGGAGAATTTGATCTCTGAGAATCATTAGACTTTATTTTGGATATTTCAACTAGCAGTAATACAAACACAGACTTTTTATGAATAGCTATGTGTTCACTGTATCTTCATTGTCTATAATGGCATAACTGTGATGGAGTTTATGTAAAGAAGGCCATGTTTATTTTTAAGAGAAGTTTATTATTCTGATCATTTTCTCAGGGCCAAATCCTGGAAATAGTCCTTATTAACACATTGACTTCCACTGAAGTCAGCATTGACTTTTTGCATGAGTAAGCATTTGCAGTTCCCATCCACATTCTGAAAATCTTGTTTTAATATTTCAACATCTTGGCTTGTCCGTTTTAAAGTAATTAAAAGATATAGGTTAAATTTCAAGCATTAGTTGTAACAGAGCTAAGCTGTAACTTGTATCAGTAGTAGCGCTAGGGCTAGGTGAGGGGAGTTGTGAGCCGCAAGCACTAAGGAGGGTGGGGGTGCCAGAATGAGGCGGGGGAGGCGGGGCTGGAGATGGGCCCCCACATGGGGCTGGGGCACAAATCATCTTGTCAGCTTCACTTTCCCTCCTCCATGGGAGATGCTGCTGCTGTTGCTGGGGAGGTGCCCAGCCAACAGCTACTGGTTTAACTCTGTCATAGCTGCTGCTGGATTAAGGCTTTTACAGTCTCATCCTACATACAGTTTTGCAGCGCCTGTGAGAATGTTAACTCCATAGCTGTTGGGGACTGAGGCTGATGAGGGGAGTCCTGTCTTGCTCCAAGAGGCTAGAGCCTACAGCCCCATGCTGAGTATGCCTCTGGGTGAGCCCAGGCTGTGGCAGATAAAACTCTGCCCACCCTCCACAATAAAGGTCAAATTATGACCAGGAATTAATACTGAAGTCCATAGTGACAAGCAAAATGTTAGGAGAACTGAAAATACAAAGATATTGCTGCATGGCTGGAATTTAGCCACAAAATAGCCAGCTTAAAGTACAATTGAAGTGAAAAAGAAAATTTTAAAAGCATGTTCATTTACATATCTGCCTTCTCAGTGCAAGTCTTATCTGTTTTCATTACTGTTGTGCACTGTGCTTGTGTGAGTGCTGCTATTTCAGTATAGCTATGGGAAAACGAAGTGGATGTTAATCTTCCTTTTGCCTCATAACTAGAAGTGTTGCCTGTGACAGAATCTCTTTATTGGTGAAGAAATAAATACTACAGCTTGATTTTTAGAATATGGATGGAGGTTTCAGAGCTGTCAGGTTTGGATGAAGAAGCCAAGTTGAAGAAGCCTGGAAGTAATCTTTTGAATTGTTAGTTTCCTATGATCCTGTAGACACTTATTCATGTGAATTGTCATGCTGTCTTATATAAAAATAAGAAGGTTTTTAGCAGCATGAGACCCTGAAAGAAAAAATCCATTATGAAATTGCATATTTTAAGTTGGTTTTTCTGCTGCTGTGACTGCACTATAAGTGGCAGCATTTCATGATTAGTACTATGCAAATGTCAAGTCAAGTCTGTGGAAGAGATGTAACCATCTTTAGCAAGGTACTGTATCTAGTATCCAAAGATTCTGAAAACAATTTCTTAATGTTCCTTCCAGTAATGAGATTTTGTATGCATTCTAATAATATAGCTATTACACAAGTACACAAGTCAAAATATCCAATTTATTTGGAGCATAATTTGGTAAAATTCAAATAAAAAGACTGACCTGTATTATAATGTTACAACAGTTTTTATCTGTATAAATCACACTGATAGTAACAATGAAAATAAAAGAACAGATATATATGCAACCAAACACGCCATGAACAGAAAGGGGGAGTACATTTTGTCGATTAAAGGTTCCTTTTATGTGGATAAATTTTTGCTTGGCCTCCAAACCTTAGTATAGCTGATGTATTACAGTTCTAAAACTTGTCCAAAACTACAGAAGTACTAAACAAACAGAAAAGCCTAGCTTTAGAATATAAGGAAATATATTCTAAATTGCTCCATGTTTATACCTTTATAAACAAGACCACTATTTAATTGTTAATACAAAAGTAGCCCCACTGAGTGCCTTTTTAATTAAGCTATTATATTAGTTTACTTTATATAGGGGCACTGAAATATAGCTGCCCTGGTATTTTGTGTGTTGTTCAACTTGGTATGAATCACTTTTTCTCCCTTTGGCAGGGCTCATATGGTGTTTAAAATAACTTCCTAAATAATGACTAGTTTGCTTTTAAAGTATGTAAATGAATGTGAGGTTTGTTGTGTTCAGTCAGTCAGTGACATAGCAGACAACTCTGTAACACCAGCTTGTTGATAGGTTGAGGTTGATCTACAACATTTTACTACAGTGATGTGTCCACAGCACACCCTGAGAATCATAAACCTTCATGATTCTAGTATAACTGTCTCTGGTGGTTGTGAGAGTAAAACATGGACATAGAGATGTAGTTAGCCATGTTAGTCTGAAGTCAAGTAGAAGGCAGGGCAGATCTATACCATATAGATGAACCAAGGTAGGTATTACAAGCTTTTGGAGGCTGAGGCTTGCTTTATCAGATGCTGTGAAGGACACGCACAAAGCAGTGTATAAGGAGAGAGAAATTGGAATAGAAAATTCAGGGTGAGGAGAGAGAGAAAGAGGGGAATGTAGGGGGTAGGGACAGTGCTGGAAGAGGGAAACAAACAGTAAACCTACAGGAACAGTCACAAAAGCTAATGTAGGCAATGGGATAATATTCCATAGTCCCTGTTTAAATCTTATTAACACAATCCAGTCTTTAGATAGTATCTTGTTCTGCAGTGGTCCATTCAAATCAGTTTCTAAAGGCTTGCTGCCTAAGAACAGTCATATTCAGATTAGCAATAGAGAAAAACAGAAAATTTAAAGCCTATATAGTTTTTTTTTTAAGTTATACATTCAGTGTAGTGATTGCTAAGACTGGAATAAGAACACGATGCAATTTAAGTTGCTTTTTTCTTTTTCCAACCTGTTTCTTTTCTGGTCTGTACTTTGGTTGCAGGGTTCCCTGATAGCTATGGACCTACCAAAATCGCAAAATCCAACATTGCCCACAAAAGAGGGCAATGTATACAAAATACACAAAAAGAAAAGAAAAGAAAAGAAAATATTGGCTCCCCAGAGGGAGCCAGCAATCTGTGCGGCCCTGCAGTCCGATAGCGCAGCTCATCAGGGGTGAGGGGGAAGGGAGAGAGGGAGGGGCTGCTGGCAAACAGGGGAGCCCAAGAAGGCTGCCACCTCTGTCCCTCACCACTAATTGGCTGTAAGGGCTGCATGTCATGTGGGCTCAACCCTCTCCACCAATCAGCAGTGAGGGGCAGGGCTGCATGATGGACAACTCTCACAACCAGTCAGTGGTGAGGGGTGGGGCTGCCAGGGACCCTTGGCAGTCTCGGCCCCATGATCTGCCCACAAAAACATCGGGCTGCCTGTGACTTGGGTAGACCCCTGTTGATAGCTGATATGTGTATAAAAGCCAGTACGTTGCTTTAGCATACTTTATTTCTTTTTTGTGGGAGAAAGAGAAGGGAAAAATATAGTTATCCCCTGGTGAGGTTTTGCCAAGGAAATATCATCGTTGGAAGTTACAAAAGAGCATTTTAGCATAGGTGTATTGCTGAACATATACATGCAGTTGTGCACTTGACAGTATTTACAGTCATTCATCAATTATTTCCTATTTTAAGACAGGTGTAACAATAATAATTATTCTTCAAAAGAAGTGAATCTGTTTCCAGGTGACATAGATAAACAACTTTAAAATCGGTGTAAGCCCATTATGAAAGAAGGCAGCTGCAGCACTTTCTAGTCCTGCCAGATTAACTTTCACTTTGGCAAATGTAGGAGGTGAAATTTGCACAAAATCTTAAAATATCCCCCAAATAAATGCACATTTTGAATATTTTATTCATGATATTGATGAGGAATATTTTACTGATGGTACTAGCCAATTGCCCGTCGTGAATGATGGGGTGTTTCAGGGAGTGTTGACATGGCCCCAAGCCCTGCTTACCCTTCGGGGCCGGCCATGTAAACAGTCCTGCCGCCATTGCCGCCTCCTCCTCCAGCCTCCAGTGTGGCGGCTCCCTCCCCTCTGCCCACCTCTGCCTCCGCCCCCGGAGCAGCAGGGCTCCCACCCCACTGCCTGAGGAGGCAGAGCTCGCGCAGCCAATCACTGCTGGCCCTCTCGGCAGCACATGAACAGTTGCCCAAAAGCATTACAGACAGACAGACTGAGCCCTTTATTATATTAGAATATTTGTCTACTCAGTTTCTTATTTTCTTTCTGTTTTTGGAAAAGTGTGAAACTTGTTAATTGAAGCAGTGTTAACGTTTTGCAATTTGGGATTATAATTCTCTGTTATCGTTTTGTGTGTCTCTCTCATAGAGATGAATTTAATATTAAAGTTCTTCAGGCTTTTGTTGAACTCCATGAGTTCGCTGATCTCAATCTTGTACAAGCCTTAAGGTGAGTGTGTTCTTTTTTTTTTTTGCCTTGGGTAAATGTTTAATTTGATAAAAGTAATTTAGAGTCTGGTGTTGATGGTTTAGTCAATCATCTGATCTTTAACTTAAATTACATAATAAAACATTAATGCTACCACACAAATATTAATGTTTCCTTTCCTTGCTTGTTTACATGCATGCTGCCTTTCTGTTTACTACATTAAATGAATGATTTCATGCAAATACAGAGAGGGCTAGAGCCCATCCTCAGTTCTTTATATGTTATCTCCTTAAATAAATAGTAAACTTTCAGCTTTTATGCAGGTGGCAGCAGGGGGGATAAAATATATAAAGCTTTAATTATTTTGTAACTCTTGTGTAAATCTAGATAATTCTAATGAATAAGGCTGTTTTAGACAGTGCTGTCAAACTTGCAGTCACAAGAGACTCCCTTTCTACAACAGCTACTATTTCTGAAATGTTGAATTGTTAGCGTGGCCTTTACACATTGCAGTGCCACTTGGTATAATATCACAGCAGCTTTGTGCTGACTGAAATTTGGTGATAACTTGAGCTGCCTCAGGATGTGGAGGTTGCCTCTGGATTCTTTGGCTTGTCTGGGATACATTATATTCTTAAAGCCTCTTAACAGCACACATGCATTATTCAGTCCTATTGTGATAGCTTCTAATGTGCAGCCAGGATTGGGCACACCAGTGCTGGCTGCTGTACAAATGAAGGAAGGGTCTATTTACAAAGGTGGCAAATTAAGGGCAGTTGTCACAATTGCAAATGACACTCAAGGTGGCAGAGAGGAAGGTGATGAGAGCAGGAACTCATGATCATGTTGACTAACAATGTTCAGTATTGTTGTACTGCACTAATTCAAAAATGTAAAAGCATCAGAAAAGATGCTTATTTAAAATCATTATCTTTCCATATTGTGTTAACACGCTTGGCAGGCTTGTGCTTTTGCTTGGTTTTTATACCCCTAATTATGCTTTTAAGTAAATGGATGGCTAGAGTCATGTGTAGGACATGTTCCAGTTCACAAATGATTTCAAAATGTGGTTCTAAAGTGAAACAAATACTGAACACTATGAAATTCTTCATGAAGGAAAATTCCAAAAAATAGTCAGATTGTTCTGTGGGTTCAACTTTTTATTTGTGTATACATAATATTAAAACAGTTCAAATGGGATATGTTGACAGTAAACTGTTCTTAAATTAAATTCCTGAAAAAACAATTTAGCTTAAAAAATGTTTCAATTTTGACACGGTGATGTTTCAATAGATTATGCCTGACCACCTATATTAGTACACACAACAAGTGTTGGATCAATTCAGTTTCTGAGGAGAAATCTTCTATTTCATCCAGTTAAGGAGTGTAGTATGGTAGTCCTTCTGGTTCATTTGGTCTTGCAATCCTGTTCTCTGCTCATTAGTACTATGTGGATGGTTATTTTTTCATGCCCATTCAACCCTTTATTCTCTGAGATTATCATAAAGGGTCCCCTCTGTATTGGGACACCTGTCTACAAAGAATTGTTTCAAGACCATTTATTAATTGTATATAACCTACCAAACAGTAATCTGATTAAAAACTTCAGTCACTGTTGTAGGAATGGATTAAAGTTGCTAGATTTGAGGTGAAAGGTTCTTTTTTTTCATTACAAATACCCATAGCCATTGCCTTCCTGCATAAATACTCTTGGTCTCCACTTTATTATGAATTATCCACAGTTCATTGTCCCTGAAATCCTTCAGGAATATTGTAAAATGAGCAAACAAACAAATAAAAGCTATAATAAAAAAGTGGGCTTTTTGTACCTGATCACTACTTTTTCATCTTATATTTTATGGTTGTTGATTGTGAACAATTACATATTTTCTTCCTGTTTATGAAGCACAGTTGCTTGTCTGTTCAGCTAGCCCAGCTTCAAAGACTGGAGCCAGAAGCAAGAGGCTATATTGTCTGCCCAGACTTTGCCTCACCGTTAAGAGCTTTGATGATTGCACTTAAGAACGTGAATAATATTTTCTAGCTGTCCATGCCAAGGGAAACATGAAAAAACATTTGGTGTTGCACAGTCCTTGAAAACAACTCTTTTCTGCATTTGTAATCTATAATTCTCTAATTATAGATCAAGTTTAATAGTTTTTGTGTAGCAATCTTGTAGCATATTTGGTTCTGCAGTATACCAGAGGGTAGCCCTCTTTTATTTATGTTTAAAATCTATTTGCAGTTTTTTTCTCACATTTTCTTTAAGATCTGGGTGTAGTGGTATAGTAGGTTGAGCCTTGTCACTCCTTAAGTAGGTAGGTTGACCTTATTCCAAAGCCCTGACTCATATCTGGTTCTAATTAAGATCCTGGGTGTTTATCAACCCACTATTTAATGTGACCTAGAATTACTTTTAACCAAATCCTGTGAAGAGTATGCTTTTTTGAGCAACAAGGAAGCATTCGGTATAGTTTAGATGGTTTTCCCATGATTTGTAAGTTAGTGATCTTCATCTCTTACTTCCATCCTCTGCTAAGATGGAAATGGAAAGAATTGCAGAATGTGAATCATCATATTATTTTGCCTGCATCGTATTATTTTGCATGCAGCGCTGTTCACTGAGTTGCTGGCCTAGCCATTTGCATATAATATTTTGTAATTGTTTATAAGTTGTCTTGAGATTGGTTTAATATAAGTTCTTATTTTATTTACAAATTACAGTCTCATTATTACTAATATATGTTTTAAAATCCATTCTAATATTTATACATTTATTTTCCTTTTGTAGGCAATTCCTGTGGAGTTTCAGACTTCCAGGAGAGGCTCAAAAAATTGATCGTATGATGGAGGCTTTTGCTTCACGCTATTGCCTTTGTAATCCTGGAGTCTTCCAGTCTACAGGTTAGTCACAAACTTTTATTAGAGAGGAAGAATTATTTTGGATGATATCTGTATTGGACCAACTGCATGGTTGAGATAGATATATGCAAGCTTTCAGGTATTGTAATGCCTTTCCTTAGGCCTCTGTGTTCTAGTCTAGGACAGAAATGACACATAAACCAGTATAAGTAATCGGAAACTGTTTCAAATCTGTAATACAATAGAAGTTCAGCGGGCATAAACCGTTTTCAAAATGGCTGAAACCAGTTTAAGATAAACCTGGATGGATGTAGTATGAGCCTTCGCTGATTTAGATTAAATCGGTTTATTGAACTTCTGTGCCAGATCCCCTCCAAATTCAAGTTAACGCACAGTCCCCCAGCATCCCAGGATGCTTTGCACCTCCTCCTCAAACCCCCCTTGCAGGGTGGGCTGGCTGGCCTTCCTGTCTGCTCAGGGTGGCCTAAGATGTCTGCACCAGCTCAGCACAGAGGTGTGCTCTAGCTCCCCCCGGCTTCTGGCCTGGGCCACTGCAGGCACGTGGCTGCATTTCCAAAATCAAAAGTGAATGTTTTCTCACTTGATTATCATCAGTTCAATGTACACAGTTTAGACTACCTTGATAAGATTAAATCGATTCAGCCTTGGGCTTTCTGACAGTCTGTACTTAGCCCTAATGTCTCTGTCCTTTATCTTTTTTGGTTATCGTTTGCTATAGGGCATAGTATCTCTCTGGTTTCACCTTCATATTGCCATAAGGGTATTTGGTGTACTGGATGCTGTCATGGCAACTATGAGGGAGAAACCAGACAAAAACTATGTATTATAATGAATGATTACTAAAAAAAGATAAAGGACAGAGACACCAGGACACAGGCCTGAGGAAGGGTTCTGTGATACCTAAAAGCTTGTCTATATCTATTTTAAATAGGCAGATGGTCCAGCAAAAGATATCACCCAAAAGGAATTCTTGCCTTTGGCATATTTCCTATACCATGGCAAAAACACCATCTCAACACTACTAAATCTATTAGAGTTGTTGTTATTGTATTATTTGTTAGATCACATGTTAAACTGTGTTTTATTCAGAGAGAAGAATGTCAGCTAGGAAATCCAGTGCAAGACAGCATGTGAATTGAGAAATAAGAATGTTTGGAGATTTGAGGAAAAACAAAGGGTTAATCTTTCACTTTCATTTTTAGTAGACATTTTACAACAGAAATCTTCCTCTTAGTGTACACACACCAAGTTTATCTTTATTGGCTTGCCACCTGTAAAAATTTGAATCCAGGTGGTTTCTTGAAAGTGTCAAGAAATGATGAGCCTGTGTACTAGCCAGTAGTTTTAAAAAATGTTCACATCCTGTTTTAGAGAGGCTTTTATTTCTTTACCTGGGATTTTCAGGGGGAGCTTTTTGGATGCTTTGACTTTCAGAGAGTTTTTCATTTAAAAAGTCTTCTGTAGAATCTGTGGAATCTAAAATCTGATAAAGCCTACTGTAGATGAGCTCCTCCTGTGCAGAAAACCTCTGAAAAGCAGAAAACCTACTTTAGATGAGCTCCTCTCTAAAGACCTTCCAGGAAGAAGGTACTAAAGATTTTTCATTTTGAAATATTGGGTTTTTTAAATGCTGATCTGAGAGATTCAAAAGTTTTCCCTTTGTTGGCTTCTCGTCTAGGCCCTTAAGTATTTTTTTCCTTTTTAGAGTTTACATACTTCTTACATCAAAACCTGAGATTTCATCTATATAGATTTTGGGGGGTTTGGCCACATACATCTCTTCCTTTGCTATTCAAGATGATATATGGGCTTGTTTGGCAAATTACCAGTGTAGTACAATTCACAAAGCAACCATTCCTTTCATTGTCTTATTTCAGATACATGCTATGTGCTATCATTTGCTATCATTATGTTAAATACCAGTCTACACAACCATAACGTAAGAGATAAACCAACAGTGGAAAGGTTTATATCTATGAATCGTGGCATTAATGAAGGAGGAGACCTTCCAGAAGAATTGCTACGGGTAAGTTCCATTAAGGTGACCAAGTGTTGATTTACCATTTTGACCTGCAGCTGAAAAGCAAGTGCAACATTCTCTGATTGGTTTGTCCAGGAGAGTATCAAGATTATTTTGTGGGGTGCTACCTAGAGTCATAGGTTTGTAGCTTACTCTCCCACTTGAGACTTGAGAGGGAGAAGCACCTGATGTCACTTATAAGCAACTTCTTTGACTTCTTAAAAAAATACTGATTCTTCCACAACAAAACCTTTTTTCTATTTGGTATGAAGTTAAACATGGGTAAAAATAGGAAGGGGGAAAACCAGTGAAAAGAAATGTAACAGTGAAGTTCTATTGAAAAATTATCTCTGTACCGTATCGGGATAAAGTCTACTATTTTTCAAAAAATAAATTCCATCTGTAAAACTTGTGGTGAGCAAAGAACTGTTTGAAAGCCTGAAAATTCTGTAAATAGGAGTGCCAAACTTTATGAGGAAAGCTATTTCTGTATTGTGAAACACACATTAAATATTGAGAGGGACACCTATTTACAAAAAACCTCTATTTTTGTTTTTAATTATTATATGTGTCAACTTGTAGTGAACACATAGAGGATGAGTGGATCCATTTTCTGTGGTTTATACTCTGGGTTTTTTAACATCCACAGTCTGAAAAGTGGTAACAGAATCTCTTGGAAGCATTGGCTGCTATGTTTGTATTACTGCACTTATTTTCTCCTTCATTCCAGAATTTGTATGAAAGTATTAAAAATGAGCCATTTAAAATTCCAGAGGATGATGGGAATGACCTGACGCACACATTTTTCAATCCAGATAGAGAAGGTTGGCTGTTGAAATTAGGTTAGTACAAAAGTAACTTTCCCCAATACCCTACTTTGTGTATTAGTGGTATGTATGCTTCCCTAACTGCTTTGCTGTAGACCTAATAGGATTAAATTACATTAATTCCTATCTAAAAAACAAAATCTAAAAAGCAGTAACTCTTTTACACAGCTTTGTGGAGTTACTTCTTGTTTTACACCCCAGAATTAGCTAGGTTGTCACTCAAATTTTGGAGTGGAGTTTGATTTCTGATATTTGAATCTGAAACCTCAGTAGCAGAAAAGAAGCTCCATTTACTATTCACAAATGCCAGTGATTGATAAATTACAATTAAATCCAGAAAACTATTCCAGAAAACTGTGACAGTTTAAACTCAGTTTTCTGTACAAAAAGTAGTGCTTTTATCTTCAAATAGGTATTTCTGTATGTCTTTATTTTTCCATATTATTTGTGAGTTTCTGTTGGTTTGGTTTTGGCTATGATTTTTAATGAGTGGTTTAAATGTGCCTTCTTGTTTTCCTTATGGCCTATGACCTATCACCTTTCTGTTCTGTGACTGGCTGTCTCTGCTTATTCTGCATTAGGAGGTATGTACCTGATGGCTTTCCAGCCCCCTTGTTCAGTTGCTCATTCTTTTTTTCATTTTTCCTTCTCTTTCTTTCTGTTTATTTTCTATTGTAGTGCTGTACTTTTTCACTTAAGGTCACTAACTTTATTCTCAGTGGGACTCTGTACTCGCATACAAAATGAGGAGTTTAGGCATTCACTCATTCCAAATGTCTTTTGTAAAAGAAGAAAATGTTCTTTTGTAAAGCAGTAAAATGAAGGCTGGCATTCTCTCCATGGATTGAGGTGCACAGTAAGAAGGGAGCTTTCTTGCAGTGAAGAGGAACAGTTATCTTGCACTAATAACACATTCTATAGCATGTTTTGTTCCTTGTCTAAAGTTCATCTCAGTCTGTTGAAAAGCTTATTTTAAACAAAACTTTTTACTTTTGAAGCATACATTGCCAAATTACTAGCTGTTCTATATTCATTTTCCTGTGGACTTTTTATTGTTAGTTTAGTTTACCTACATATAAAAACACCCCAAGAGTTTAGGGTCCCAGATCCTTTGGCACTTCGTAGTGTGCTGGTGCTGAAGTACAAACTACTCGGCCTCTTGTTTATGGATCTCTTTGAAGTTGATGTGACTTGCTTATCTATTCGGGCGTAGTGAGACAGCCAGCAAAGGGTGGGGGGAGGGAGTTGTGTTTTGAACAGATGCCAAAACTTGGTTCTAACTTCTATTTAAAACATTGATTTAAAGACCAATATTCACTGCCATTTCAGATCTAGATTCTGGCTCTGCTCATGTGCAGAGAACCTTGCTTTGTATATAAACAGAGCCACATTTGTGAGAGGAAAGTGAAGGGTGATTTAAGGAGCAGCCAGCAGCACTAGACACAGATCTGGCTGCTTGCAGACGTTAAAAAAACTCCCAAAAGACTGTGCTTTATTTAAACTTGGTGCACTCCCGCGCTGAGCCCAGCACATGCCCAGAAGAGGCAGCGGGTTACTTGGATTCGACTCGCCTGATGTCTGTATAGATTGAGTGCTTTGGTGGGGCTTTTTTGGTGCTTTTATCTAAGAGCTGGTTGACTCAATTTTAGATAAAAGTGCCAAAAAGCCCTGCTGAAGTGCCCAGTCTACATAGACGCTGTGGAGCGGGGTCAAGGTAACGCGCTGTTTCTTCTGGTAAAGCACAGTTTGGTTTGGTTTTTTTAACATCTGCAAACAGCCATTGAGTGATGTGTGTTGGAAGCAGAGCTTCATTCCCACCCTGTCTATACCAACTGGAAACTGAGGCTGGCACATACGTATTGTACACTGGGAGATGGTATAGGAGTAGTAGCTACTGCAGGTATCCTCCATATTTTTTGTGCACTGTAGACAGAATGCTTCCAGGTATAGCACCCAGTATAGCCTTATACATAATGTATTTATATTAGTTTTCAAATCTTTTGAAATGATTGGTTGATGGTGCCATGTTAATCTGAACAGGCCCTGAGATAGCCCTGTTAGTTCGAAGTCATGCAGAAGGCAGGATGGCATTTTAGGCCGCATCCTTGTAGCAAAAAAAAAGCACCCTTTTTTTTTCTGCTGCAAGTGCATGTCCCTACACATCTGGACGTGGACTTAGAGACTAACTGGTTCAGAGAGGCATGAGCTTTCATAGGCAACAACCTATTTTGTCAGATGCTTTGTCAGATATGTCCTCAGAGTATATTGGAGTCTTCAGAAGCTCATACCACTCTGAATTTCACAGTGATGTCCATTAGTCACTACTCACCCATTTGTTTGATTTCTGTGTTAGCAATTGTCAATTGAAGAGAAATGAAAATGGTCCCAAGTTGTCTGGCAGTGTTGACATAACATTTTCTTGGTGTCTTTGGTCTATGTGCCTTTTAGTTGTGTGACAGGGTTGTTAGTGTAGTTTTAGGAATAGATTAGACAAGCACTTATATAGGGTGGTTTGGATAGGGATGTGCCTGCCATGAGCAAGAGGTTGGATTAAATAACATCCTGAGAGATCCCTTCCAGCCCTACTTTTCTATAATTCTATGATTTTCTGATATATTACGTATAAGTGTGGATGAGCCCGTCAAGACAGTAGGGGGTCACATCGTGCTGTGCAGTGCAAAAAAAACTATTAGTAGTGAGAGTGCTAATTTAGAGTCTGGTACTTCTGGGTTCTAAGCAATGAAGTCTATGGGAGTTGAAGGTGTTAAGCACCTTTTGGTAGTGTCCCCTTAGAACACAGAGCAGGGAGGCTTGCTTTTTGGTTGTCTCCATTACTTCAGCTGCAGATTCTATAAACACTGTAAAATCCTCAGATACCCTCTTTGTCTTCCCAACTAAAAAAAGCAAAGCCTCTTCCTGTTCATGCTTGAGGGCATGAGCTAGTTTAACAGGCATGGTATTCATAAATGAGAGAATTTGAAAAAGGACTTTGCAGTTGATGTACATTATCATTTTAACAGCATGTGATATTGTCCACCTCAGCTGAAAAGATTTTTTTAGGACAAGGAACTCCAAAAAGTAGAAATATTTCACAGAACATAAAACTGTTTTTTCCTAATAAGATTGTTACACAATTAATTATTTGATATGATTTGTTATATCTTAATATTTTCTACGGAGATTGTAAAATTTAAAATTTGAGACAATTTTAGATCTCAAATAGATGTAAAAACCCACCTGCAGAATATTGGTGTATGTAGTTAAGTTTACCTTCAGCAGTTGTGACCCATTTACAATAATTTACAATAATTCCAAGGAACAGACTTTTATAACAAGACTAGATATTGCAGAAGATAATCACAGTTTAATCAGTCTGCTCAGGCTGCACTATACACCCTAAGTGCTGTACTTGCTAATTTTGATAAACAGCTAATAAAGAAGATACATTTGTCAAAGATAAAAGGAAAAGTAAATACATTGTCTTTTCAAAATGAAAATAGATTTTGATTTTTAGGTGGAGCTAAGTAGTATGACTTTAAAAATATTTAATTTAAAAAATACCACCCTGCCAAATACATTGTTTGGAGATGGGACTGAGTATAAGCACATAAGTCCCATGACTTTTTTTTATCCAAATACTTTTTAGTGGCAAAGGGAAGCTGTGTAGGGGAGTGCTACAGCATTGATTACAAAAGAAATAGTCAATGAAAGAAGCATGGGAGCTGTGAGAAAAGAGGAAAGCAAGGGAATGAAAGAATAAAGATTCCTAAAAGTCAATAAAAGCCTCCAGTTATCTCCAAATGCTCCTTCTGTGGCATATGGACTTAGTACAGTGCAGTAGCAACACATAGGGGTGCACGGGGGTGCACCCCCTGACAGACCACGCTCCCCGCTCTGGCATCGGGTAGGGAGGGCAGGCAGGAGGGCCTGTGCCCCCCCCTGCGAGCACCGGCTGGGGAGCAGGAGTGTCACAGCCACTTCCAGGAGCGCCACGGCCGCTTCCCAGCTGGCACGGTCAGCCACAGGGGGCCCCCCTCCCCCACTCACTAATTGGTCGCTGGGGGGGGGCATGTGCCCTTCTGACTAAAGCAGCACCAGTCACCCAGAGTACAGTGTGCTGTACCTTCTCAAGAGCTGGTTGTATCGGAGTCCCAGTGGTAAGAGCCTGCATTAAACTGAAGGACACTGCCCTTGAAACACCCACAACAAAAGGGTTAATTGGATAGGGAAGTGAAACATGCCAGGAATCTTCCTATGAATCAGACTATAAATATGTAAGGCCTCCTGTTCCTCGGAGGGACTGAGTTTTGTCAGTAAGCACTCTGGGGCAGACAAATGTTTCTGCTAGTTTATGAGCTGTAGAGGTGTGGATACAGTGACCAATAATAGCTTGATGATTTTTTTTGTCTTATTGCCAGGAGGCTTGAATAGCAATAACAACATATATGGGAGAGAGATCCTGACTCCCAGTGTTGGAGTAGCATTAACTCACCTCTTGTAGGAAATGGTGTATTATTAATAAATGAGTGAAGCTCTGCCTAAACTTAAATAGGATTTAAACACTGTAACATTCATTAGGAACAAAATATTAAGGGGTTGATGCAAGCAGATAGAAAAAAAGCTCAGATGATCAGTTATTTTCATATTTGCTTTAAACGTGAAGATGGAAGAGGTATTTTCCAGAAAAGGAGATTAGAGCAGGAGAAAGCCACTGAAGGTATCAAGCCAGTGCTTTCTGTTTTGCTTTTAAATGTGGTGTTAGCCCTTTTCTTTCCTCTTGCACTTAATGCTACTCTTTTCTTTTCAGTTGTCTTGCCTGGGGAAAGACTTGTCTTGGTGTGCTTTTTGTAAAGTTTGTCTGCCCAAAAAATGCAAAGGTCTATAAAGCTGTTGGTCTGCAGAACATTCGCATTTGTGGGATTTGCCTGTAGTGCACTGTTCAGAGGTGATTTTGTATTAATAAATAAATCCTGCCAAGTCCAAGTATCAGAACTGATGAATAGAAAAAAACCGCGG